ATATTTTATAGCAGCAAATTATGAACTTCTGGAATACACAACTTGAATAGGTAATGTTCTTCTATTGCTAATGTTATATTTTAGCGTCCTGTTGCACTGATTTAAGTCCATGATTTATTTAAACCGTCTTGCAGTGCATACACTCATCTATCTCCTTCTCTCACTCGCACTACATGTTTCGGCACAAAAATGCCATCTTCAGGTGCTTACTCAATCCACGCCAAACTAGTTCATTGCATGCCTTGTCCTCACATTAAAATAACTAAAATATATATCTATCATATACATTGACGAATGTCAAACGTTAAAAATATTAAAATTGTTCAGGATTCCTCGTCGCTACGTCGCATCTCACTACGCCAGTCACGCCCATCCTTCTCTGTTGGAGCACTCCTTCACTATCGTGTGTGTGTTGTGCTTTTGTTGTGTCTTGCTCCTGTGACTGCGTGTTATACATTTTTGTGCCGAAACATGTAGTGCGAATGAGAGAAGGAGATAGATGAGTGTATGCACTGCAAGACGGTTTAAATAAATCATGGACTAATATGAGTATATTTATAACTATTTTCATTTGCATCTAGTATTATTTTTGTTTCTGAAATCTGTATTATGCAACTCTGTTATTCAATTAATATAGCTAAAAGATAAAGGTATCCCTGTAACAGGCCGTGGAGGCCCATAGGATTGTGAGACGTCGAGGCCCCCACATTTTGTAGACAATCGGCTTACGGATGGCGGTGAGATTGTCAGCCTTACGCGCCGGATGCCCTTTACCCCCAAGAAGATTCATGATACTCATTTCTGCTAGAGGCTGAGTCGACCCCAGGGCCAGGCTGGAAGGATTGGGCCAATTGAAAAGTCCAGTGACCTAATCGGGATTCGAACCCGCGACATTCCGGCTTGTAGTATAGTGCCTCAACAAACTACGCTACCGCGTGGCCCCATTAACTTAGCTGCTGTCTGTAAATTATCTTTCGTTGCTGAAACCAGCTTATGTGAGATGAGTAATTTCTTATTCCTTGAGAAGATAATATTAAAATTGAACTTAAACCAATAGGATGAGGTGGCATGGACTGGATTAATCTGTCACAGGCGGACATTGACGGGCCCTTGTGAACACAGTAATGAACCTTTGGATTCCATAACATGTTGGGAAATTCTTGAGTAGCTGAGCAACTGGTGGCTTCTCAAGGACTCAGTTCTACCATTCAGTTATTTTACTTATGTACACCACATATTAAATAAGGTGATAATCCACATTCTAGGGAGAGTCCCATATTACTTTTAAATGGTATGGCTGTAACTTTCTCTTAAAATTTCTCTCATCTTTTCTCCAGTTAATTAAAATGTCGCATCCTTGCTGCGCTGTCTTGTTTGCTGTCACCCAGGCTTTCGTGTACAAATTTTTCAGCCGCTTCGCTTAACCAGTTTGTTAGATTACCCAGACGTAACTGGATAACAGCGAAATACCACTATAATCGTCGTTTATGTGTCTAGGGCTTTATTTTATAAATGTCAATGAAGCAAAGGGCTATCTCTGATGTAACTGTTAACACACAACTACTATGGCGGTCAGTAGTGTCTGCTGTATGCTTCTTTACCTTCCGCTGTGGTAGTCGTCGGTCTCTGCCACCGACCCCTTAGGCCAAGGCCATAAGAGAGCGGTCTCCCACCCACCATCGTAAGTGCATGGGCATGAGAATGACGTGAAAAGTGCAACTGGTATAAATCAGCGCGCGTGGCCAGGCGGCCGTGAAAATTTAGGACTGTGTCTGACTGCACTGCTCCCTGAAGGTCTCCTGTAATGGAATGCCTCGTGCTCAGTTTTTAGTGTTATGCCTTCTCGGACTAGCGTGGCACAACTGTCTGCAGTACATGTTTCGAATTTTCAAATTTATAGACCAGTTGGGTCATTTATTTTAGTTTTCAGTAGACACGGAAGTTGGCGCACCGATAAGCCAACTAATGGGCGTTAGATAGAAATTCTTGCTGTGCATGAAGTATATGGAAGTTACCATTGTGTGACGTTTTACGTATAAAAGGATGGACGCATCATTTTCTTTGTCTGTCATGTAAATGTACAGATAAACGTCATCCCCGAGTCCATTCCTGTATGCGTGGAGTGTACGTGCTGCTGTGGCACGAAAGGAGCCACACGCATTGGCTCTAAGAATCTGTGTGGGTGGCCACCGTTATTATTCAGGTAGTGTGTCCATTTTCATGTCAGCACACGGACGGCAAAACAAAGCTCGTGTGGCCTTAGCATTATGTACCAAAGTCCATGTGTACACTGGTTGCATGCAGACTTTAAAAACAAAGCTCCCCAGTCGTGTGGTCCTTAATTTTTCGGTTTCGTTTTCGATATAATTACTACGTCCACAGTGAGTTTTCTTGAGAGCCGTAGGCAAATTGTTGATCCGGAGAGGTGGAAAAGTTGGACGTTCCTCTCAATTCGGGCCGCGGAGATTCTATATGTGGGAACCGATAAACCTATAACATGTAGTGTAGAAGAAGACAAAACGGAAGACCTACAATAAATTGTTGCACTTGGGACGGAATTTATATCATATATCGTATAGAGTGTAACAGGATGCTTAAATATAATATAGCATGAACATATTACAAACAAAACTTATCTTTTATATCAGATGCCAGAAGTCCTCCCTTTTGTTACGCACGCATACCTACTGCCAAAATAAGTTGGTTCCTAGTATGTAATGTAAACCTGGACCTTGAAACCCCAGTCTCCCCTGAAATATGTTTTTCGGAGAGAATGTTCGAGCTTTGTACCGACCCCTTCCACTATTACTTGAGTGAACTCTGCACTTTGATTCTATTTTGCCCAGTAACCACCCTGGGATCATCGTTCTTTTCTTGCAGAACCTATTTTCCATATGGGTACCGTATTTGAACACTCGCTGTTCCAGTATGTATCTCGCACATGCCATTTCCATGCAGAACATTACACGACTGAATGAGTGACCGCTTATCACATAGGCCAAGTATAGCAGCCAAGAGTTTAAGGATCATGGAGCTCGGAATAAGAACTGTCTGGAGCATAATACATACACTCGCTTAGCAATTATCAGTGTTACACCGCAATGTAACTTTATTTTCTCAAAGACGTTGATAGGGGTTAGGTTGTCGGACCGTCAGCCCAACATACAAACCATTCATCCTAAATAACTGTATTTTACGGCTCTAACAAATCTTTTAATCCACCTGATTTGATTAACACACAGTTTTATTTTCTGGAACATGTAGTGGACTAAGCGTTTTGTGTGACGGTGTAACATTGATTATCTGTGAGGTCACACACGGAACGCAACATTACATACCCGACGATAGCCGTTCAGCGATATGCTGGGGCGAAATTAAACGAAACTGGTGCTAGGCTTGAATATTCTCCCGACCATCAACAGTAGACAGCATATGCAACATTTGTGGTAATCGGGAAAGGTTTTATCACATTTGTCGGTTCCGCTAGCAGCTAGTATCCCGGCAGGACGACTTGATGGGAAGAGCGTTCGACTCTTCCACCGGAGCGGTTCGCTGGTTAGTGGAAGGCTCGAAAATAATTCCATTGTATTACTTTCCATCTTTCTTAGTTCCTCCTGTATTTTTAATTGCTTTCACATACATTCTCGTATATTCCAAACTGCAGGTCGAAAGTTATCTATAACTCCGGCCACGCCATAGCTCAAGTGGTTAGTCGCTGGCTTCCCACCGCGGCGGCCCGGATTCGATCCCGGGTCTGGTCAAGTGGGATTTGTGGTGGACAAAGTGGCGCTGGGGCAGGGTTTCTGTGAGTACTTCGGTTTCCCCTGCCAATCTTCATTCCACCAATTGCTCCACAATCACCCTCATCTATCATCTGGGGCTGGTACAATAGACCAGAAGTGGCCCCACTACAAGGGACTTAGTCCCACCACACTAGCAAAAAATCTATAACTCCAGTCTTGTCAGAGCTGTCAACGCCGTCATTTGTCCGGGTAATTTCCTTCCAAACATTCTGAATATAACACGTTTACCTATGCCAAACTACCCGTTTGACGACGGGTCGACTAAAACCTAAGTAAATCCTCAAAATGTGACGGGAGTACATCGACACTGAAGATGCACATTAATGCTTAGAACTAACAGCCTCGCTTCAAGCTAGTTCTATTCATGTATGAACAACTGGAAATTATGTTTTTTTTCAATAATGAAACGAAAATTGGCCTATTTCTGCGTGCGACACATTGTTGCAACAGAAGTTAAAGCAGCTCACAGTAGGACATTCAGCACTGCAGCATGTATTGTTCAGAGGCGATGTTCCAAGAGAAATCTGGCACTACGACCCACAGGGATATTTTTGAGCACAACTTCACTGTGACGAGCAGCTGTTGCCATTTCGTGCATTCTATTTTTCTTTGCTGTAAGGCAAAGTTCTTTGACGGTAGAGCGAAACTCCTGTAAAAGACCACCTCTTTCGAATATCATATTTGTGAGGCACAGACAAAAGTAGTCGACTGACATATAAAGCATAATGAATGTCAGCTGTTCAACGAAGTACTGGGTCAGTATTGAAGATAAATTGTAATGCGTATGCGTTCCTTGTGTAGAGTCCACCATTGCACAGTACCCGTGCGATAGGAAATGACGCGAGGAGCGACCCTTCTGCCTAAGCGGCCGAGCTATTTTCGGGAAGCACTCAAACGATCGCACCATATAACAAATGGAGATTCCCATCAGATTTTCCGCAGGCATTAGACGACTTAATTTATAATATCAAATAATTACAGAGAATTTCAGATACTGACAAGTGTGGTATAGCTGTATTGCACCTGACATCTATTTTACAGGTGCCGGTTAAGATTTAGGCTGGGGCCACACGAGGGCACAAAATGCGTCCGTTGTAGAAACAAACAGAGGCGAATGCTACGCTTTCTTCTGGCTCCATTGCAGACAAAGAACTACGCACCGCATTCTGCAACTATGTGGTGTCCTCAGCAACGTCCGTCATAAAGTATGTTCGTTACAACGGGCGTACTTCGTGCGCTCGTGTGGCCCAAGCCTATAATCAGAAGCACTTGAAATTGTAGGCACGTCACTAAAATAGGTATTCCATATTGGGTCCAAATATTACGGTAAATTGAAGACAATACTGCCCTTCTTGTACTTACCCATAAACTTCTTTTTCTTGAACACTGATTTTCATTTTTCATTTTTGACAAAACAAAATGAAAAGTACTGCAAACTGCTAGAACATCTGGAACACCAACCAAAACAACACAAACTTAGAAGCCAACCTGAAAATAGAAGAGATACAAGAAAAACAATAAATTAATTCCCCTTAAGCCAGTTAAATCCAGAGGCTTCAGTGTTGTATGTTTTACAAGCCAGAACATTTTTAAAACGCCAACATTTACGTATGAAAGTTGTTTAAAGCAACATGACATGAAGAGGGCAACAGAAATAGTAAAAGTTGACCTCATTTTTTGTGATATTTCACACGTGTGCGGAGACATTTATGTAGTATTTTTAAACCAAAAATGTATTATTTTTTATATATGATGGGGAAGTCCTCTTAAGGATGGTGTTCATGCTAAACACAGATTGCTAACCAAAGAATTCTGTGGTAACAGAATCCAAAGTTAACATTGCTATTACCAAAGCTCACCATTTTACATAATTTTGAGCCATTTCTGTTTCAGGTACTGTTATTTCCCAATTTCCATCTGTGCCATTTCAACGATTGCTGTTTAAAAGATTCCCCACTATAATTTTTCCGTCAAAAAGATCCTCTATTGATAGCCAGAGTTTAGGTGGGTCGCATGTGGGTGATCACTACATTTGCCCTACCATTTTGTTGTCCCTGAAATTTATGATATGAAGATATCAACCACTACTAAAATTAATAATACAAAATATGAAACAAGCTTTTATTTGACTCAGCCATTACAGATGATGATATTGTAACATGTACACCCATTGCTAGGCAACGGCTTGGTAATCACATTCCTGCGACGCATAAGCGTGCAACAGGATGTCCATTGCTAGGTAACAGACCAGTTAACACGCCGTTTTTCTTTGTGTGCTCCATGCCAAGGGGTTATAAGTGGACACAGTCACAAGATGCGATCAAGCATAGTAGCCGAGAGTGAAGGGTGGAGTTTTGGAACGCCAGTCTGCCGGGATATGAGCTTGGGAGCAAAGGAATTGAACTGGGTTGAGTCTTCAGAATTGGCAGCTGCAGAATAATGGCAAGAAGCAGTTTGGCGGTGCAAACAAGACTTCATGTGTGTTTTGAAGTGAAAATGAGAATGACAGATCCGTTGTCAGGATACTGAAGACTGAGATCCAGTTAAAAATCCATTTCTAGAAGGGCTCTGGTGCCCACCCAGCATTCTGTTTAAATTATTCTGGGACTGAAGCCAGCCACTCATTTTCATCTAAAGTGGAGGATAAGAAGGTGTGACCCTGTACCCCCATGCCATCATATTGTGTGATGTGATGCTAAGCAGAAGGGTAATTTAATCATCATCTTTCACTGCATATACTAATATAAACTAAAAAAAAAAAAAAAAACTCCATGGTTTTAGTCCGCAAGCGAACTATACTGTCTGAGCGACCACCGGCTACTTGTCGGTGAAGTTGCCTATACTAACATGCAACTTTAATCATCAACTATGAACATAAGTACATACATATTCTGTATGGTTATTTGTCTGCGTTAAAAAGTATCAGAGTGGCCCTGTTCATTTCTCTTATGTTAACTGTATTGTGGAATCCTGGGTTATTACATAATATGTATAGTCTGGTAAGTGGGTACCATTGTTTCAGAAAGGAACATAAAGCTTTCTCCTTTCTGAAACATTGCTACCCACCCTACAAGATTATACGGTGTTGTAACTAAGAAGTCCATAATATCACTCTTCATCACACCAGAAGTGTCAACTCTTGCACTTTTAGGTCATATATGACAATTTCCAGCTTTGTTCCTGTAATGTGTGAGGTTTCTGTGAATGGATAAATGCATTTACAACGAAGTGTGTCATATGTCCTTCCTGTTTCATATATGATATAATTATAGATATGTAAGATTTGAGGCTTTCACAGNTTCAGATATTATTCTTGGACCTCTTGGGTGAAGGTGGTTTATTCATACTTCAGGACCAGACATGTTGAAGTCTAAGCCACTGCTGATGAAATGTTTTGCAGCTAGGTACACAATCTTTTCTTGTTTTCTTTACATAATAAAGGCCCTTAATGCCAGTAAAGCTGTTATTCTTATAATTCCCAGGTTCAGGCCAAAAACAATTTGGTTCCTTAATGGTGGCTTTTGTGGGTATTCCAGCGAGAGGAAAAACTGTCATGGCTCACAAACTGGCCCGATATTTGAACTGGACAGGAGAAGTGGCTAAAGGTAAGCTTACCACTATATTTTTTACAGGTTTCTTGTAACATTATATACACTATTTCTGAACAGAATTTAACATGTGGGAGACCAAAGAGCAGTTTTGCAAGGAATGAGAAGCCACAGACACAAAAGGAATGATTTACTTAAGAAATGGATGCATTACAGAACAGACATGTAAGACTTACACATATGAAACTCATTCAGTAATTTTTCTGGAGAAAGGAGTGCAGGCCATTGAAGGCAGTCCCCATGGGTCTTGAGGCAAGCATGCCACTGATGTATCAGCCCATGAATCCTGTTTGCAGAGAACTCCTGCGCTGCTGCTAGAACTGCCATCGAGTCTTGGCTGGGTCACCAGCTGTCATACGTTTTTCATAATCTTTCTCAGTTCCTCAGGCAAATGCACGGATAGTACCTCGACTAGGCTTTGCTGCTTCATTCCAAATCCTCTTCAGTTCACCATTTCATCAGTCATCTTACCATCTGATGCTATGTAGCCCCAACACTGAAGGCAGTGATTAAATAATCTACCAAACAAACCAATTATGTTGTCACCATTAATTAACCCTACTTAAATTAATAAAAAATCAATATAATCCTGGAGTGACATGCCTGGGTTATGTGGGAGATGGTCCATCGTCTTTTGGTGTGGGCCACATGGGGATGAATGTCATGCAACATGATGGACATTCCAGGATTCCTTCTCATGACGGCAGTATGAAGATCTTGAAGGGTTGTACAATAATGCTATGCTGCACTGATGTTGACAACCCTTGGGCACTAGGAAATTTAATGATAACTCATTGGTCCTGTTTTGACAGACTGCACCTGGAATGCCTGCATTTAACCATGTCACACTCTTCCGGCATGCCCTAAGGTGCTTGCTTTGTTGCATAGTTCAGGGTCAACTACTGGTGTGTCATGCGGATGTGGTTATGAGTGCTGAGCATAGTGTAGCTAATCACCACGAGTTTTAAAGTGGTAAAGATGATACAAATTGTGTTAATTGTGTATTATTGAATGGAGAACTCCAAACCGTGTCACATGAATTGAAATATGCACTTCAAATTATTGCTCTTCTGCACGAAGATGTGAACATTTTAAAGAGAGAATTTGTGCAAGAGGATACGTCAGGGAATGTAGGTCCGATGAAGGTGCATAAAAATGAAGGATTATTCTCATCAGTGAATAATAAAAGCTGGAAAAAAAAGCAAATGTAGATTTAAATAAGCAGACATTATCTAATTTTAAGAAATTTGTGCCACCAACTATAAAACTGCAAATCAATATGAGGTTCTTCATAACCTCAACGAGGAGGGAACGCAAGAAGCTCTGGTCAGAAAGAGAGACTTTATTCAGTTTTGTACCAATAATAGTGATCACAGAAATCAACAGTCACATACAAATGATTCAACATATCCAATTCCAGTTATTAATAAGGGGCAAACACAGTGGAAAGAAACAAGAAGAATATAAACCACAAATTTAAGGGAAGTGCTCAACAAAATCAACGACAGAAAATGGTGATCATTAGGGACAGTCATGCCGGAGGTTGTGTAGCTAATATGAAACACAGTCTTAAAGACAGTTACAAGATTAATGGTTTTGTGAAACCAGGAGCATGTATAGACACATTAATCGCTTCAGCAAAGGGTGATATTGAATACTTAACCAACAAGGATGTAATTGTCTTTCGCGGAGGTCGTTGGCCAAAATAAGTCCGAAGATGTATTGAGACACATAGTGGATTTCATGCAAATTAATAGTCATACGAACATTGTTTTGTTGAGTGTCCCACATTGGTATGAATTATCTGATTGGTCTTGGATGAACAGTGAAGTGGAAAACTTTAATAGAAAACTAATGAAGCTTATGAAGCCTTTCAAGCATGTTAAGGTGGTAAAAGTAGATCCCAAAAGGGAATTTTTTACTAAACATGGTCTGCATATGAACAATGTGGGTAAAGAAAAAGCAGCGTTGAAGATAGCTAATGTTGTTGCTGCAATGTTTAAAAAACAAATAGAAGAACCAATCAGATTGTACTGGAAAACTGAATATAAGGAAGGTGTAAATTGTACTTCAAGTGGGGATAATATAATTACTCAAGAAGATACTAAAGCTGCCACATCAGACAATGAAGAAGTTATATCTCACGTTGCGGACCAAGAGGTTCCGGTAGAAGAAGTAGGTAGAATATCAGATGGTAGTACACAAGTAGGTAGGACCTCAAGTAGGCAAAATAAAGCCACCATCACAAGAAGCAAGGATTTTTTGTGGCAAAAGTAATTTCAAATAGACAAAAACACATTGCATTTGAACAACTAAGTAATCAGTCATGTAATAAGAATGATGATATAAATAATAACCTATTTAAGATATTTCATCAAAATATTATGGGAATAGAAAGGAAAATTAATGAGTTAATGATATCTTTATTAAATGAGGAACCCAGTGTAATTTGTCTGAAAGAACATCATCTAACGGACTATGAAATGGATGCTTCACATATTCCTAAATATAAATTAGGTGCAATATATTGTAGGAAGAATTTAAAAATTGGTGGTGTCTGTATATTCATTCAAGATGATCTCAATTTTACTACTATAAATCTAGAAAAATATTGTAAGGAATGAGAAATGGAAATTGCAGCCATTCAATTAAAACTTAATGAGAAAAGGGTAATTATTCTCTGTATATACAGAGCCCAAGCTGGTGAGTATGACTATTTTTTAAACAAACTGGTCTATATACTTAATTTTCTTCATAAGTATAACTCAGAATTTATATTATGTGGGGACATAAATATTAATTGTGTAGAAAATAATAATAGGAAATCAAAGTTAGAGGACATGTAACATACTTATAATCTAAGGGATACTGTATGTTTCCCTACAATAATTGCTAACAATTCAGCCACTTTGATAGATAATATATTTATTGATAACAGAAGAAGTTATACCATTAAACCGTGATCATGATGTGCAGCTCATAACATTTAAGAATATTACTGTACCTAATAATACATTTGGATCTGTCCTTGTTAGAAACATTAATATAGCTGAATTTCAAATGTTACTGGAGTTATGATATTAAGGAGTCACAAATGTGACTGGGACAAAATTTCTGGGATTAATCACTGATGATACTGTTACGTGGAAACAGCATATCGATTATGTTATTAATAAAATTTCCATTGCATGTTATGCATTGAAAATTATAAAATATATTGTCCCTTTAGATACATTAAAGCTAATTTATTTTGCTCATATACATTCTACCATAAGTTATGGTATAATTTTTTGGGGTGGCTCTTCTTGTCTTAACAAAGTTTTTATATTGCAAAAGAAAGTTATTAGAATTATAACGAATTCTAGACGAAGAGAGTGTTGTAGGGACATTTTTAAGAATTTGGAAATGACGTTCTACTCTCAGTACATATATTCATTACTTTTATACACAATAATAAACATTTATTTAATTTTAACAATGAGTTTCACAAGTAAAAAAATAGAGCCCTCAATAATGTATATTTACCTGCAGTTAACCTAACAAAATACAATATAGGTGCATACATATCAGGTATTAAAGTTTTTAATCATCTTCCTCAAACAATAAAAATGTTGGCTACTGATGAGAAGTTTTAAATCTGTATTGAAGAAATTTTTATATCATCATTCTTTTTATTCCATGAATGAATATTATCAACATAATTGGTCATAAGTGTGTAAATTTGTAATGTATTTAATTCAGTTAATATAGGTAATTTAAATAAAATTGTATTAATTCAAGTTTCATACTAAGTTACTTTTAAGTTATGTTTATTAATTAAAATCTTATTAAATTTTTTACTTTATTGTTATTTGTATTAATCGATTAATGTAAGTGATTTTGATTATGTGATTTGTGTAATTTTGTATATGTATCTTGATATATCTATTTTCAAAGGGACCATTTCCACAGCCTAGGTTTGTTACCTGTATGGATATATGGAAAAGAAAGGGAATGAATGAATACAGCCATGTGATCACCTGCAACTGACATCTTCTAGCAGTGCTCTGAATGAGTTTCATTTGAACGTCCCTCATGCAAACAGAATGGGCAGCTGTGCTGGTCTCTCCATATTCATCAAAACAAAACAATCAAAATAAAAACTGATTGCATATCATCCTTCATGGTATTATCATAACATTTTGGTGATTTTCAAATGGGCAGTTGAACAGTTATTGCCTTTGCCGAGGACTACACTCTCCCTTCCATGTATACATGTTACCACTGAGATACCAAGGCAGTCTTGGTGAGACTGCACAAGGAATATTGACATTCAATCCCCAAACAAAATTTATGCTTAAACTAAGATAATTACAGCGCATAGAATGGTTACCCAGTACATCATAATTTATATGTGTAATTTGTCAGATCAGAATCCCCTGACTATATATTATGGCATATATACCTGTTGCTAGGCAAATAGTGCAAAATAAGCAGCTATACAAAAGCTGTTACTAGGTAATGGTCCTGTAAACAATGGCTGGTACTAGGTAATGGCCACAACAGATTTGCAACGTGACAATGTAGTAACTGGGAAGCAGTGTTCTCTATGTGGTTTATGCAATAACTGTGTGATGCAACAATAGAAAAACTGTTGGGAGAGGTATTTTCTATGCGGCCTGTGCCAAGGCTATATACTGAGGAGCAGCTGTGATTACAAGAAAGTCTAGAGTCTCGAGTTGGCAGTGAGAAGGGTAGGAGGTTGACGTGAGATGGCCGCCAGCATGGGAGTTACTCATTTGGAGGAATGACTGAATTGTGAGACAGTAGCCAGCAAGTAAAGATGTGAACTTGAAAGCAAAGGAAGCTATGGTGTTGGAAGCCTTTACCAGGCAACAACCAGTGAAGATACAGCAGACTGAGAAGACGTTGTGCAAGCTGTAGAGAACTCCAGAGTGTGTGAATTAGTGTTAGCACTATAGACATTTGTAGTTACATACTGCAAGAGTTCAATATATCTGGTTACCAATCTTAACCCCACCTATAGTCACACGACAATTTGATGGTTATTCTGGTAGAGCTGAAAGCTTCACACATGTCTTTTGGATATGTTACAATTTGTGTGATCAGATGTCTGCAAGTATATTTGATCACTGTTTAGTGTAATCTAAAGCTTAAAACAAGTCTTTTGCACAGAGCACTTTGTTTCTTAGAAGTTCTCAATGAGTAATAGCTGTTAGTACCTGCACAGACAAGTAAATCTTACTAACATGTGGCAGAACTCAGACTTGCCTATTCTCAGCTACAAAAACAAGAGATGGAAGATTCTTGAGCATCAAATAGCAAAAGAAAAGACTGTTTGGTAGTGCCACAGACCAGACTTTCCCAACTTCACAATACCTGAAACAAACCCTTTGCTATCCCCATCACAGATGCCATAACTTATGTGTGTGTGCATTTGCACATAATGTAAATATGTGCTTGTTTTCACACTGTATGACAAGTATAAACACCCTTTATTCCAGTATTCACTGTTAGTGAGTATCGGAGGAAGCTTGTGGAGCAGTATGACAGCCATGATCTGTTTAGGGCAGACAATCGTGAAGCAATGGAAATTCGTAAGAAGAGTTCTGTGACTGCTATGGAAGATGCAGCACTGTGGCTTAAAGAAGAGGGAAATGTTGCAGTAAGTAAAATTATGCTCCAAACTTATTCAGAAATTTTTTGATTTAATGCACTTAATATGAGGGCTCTGTTCTGTCAGAGATAATAACAACTTTAAAAATTCTTGTAGTTTCCCAACTCTTATTCAAAAGGTCATGGTCAAAATATTTAAATTTTTATAATCATTACAAGGCCTGTGTAGTTCACTCACTAAAGGATGTAGTTCACTATTTAAACAAAGAAATTAAGAGACTGTATACAGCTCATTGTATTATACTGTTTCAGGTTTTGGATGGTACAAATGCAACCAAATCACAACGGGAAAATGTTTATGACTATTGTGCAAAATTATGCTGCAAGGTGCTGTTTATTGAGAGCATATGTGATGATGATGACATCTTGTCTAGAAATATCAAGGTGAACCTGTCAATACATTCACTTCATTTGCCATGAATTTAATGTATATATAATGCAAAAGTATAGTTATTTTAACTTAAAGTAGTTCCATTTTAGATATGCTAGTGAGTATGAACACTGAAAAAGAGAAATTCATGTGTGAAACTGAGGACAGTCACTGTCACAAGAATTTTTGTCTCAGTGGAATCACTACCAGTTCAGTGTCATAAGGAACAGTATTGTCATGTTTATGGGTCACTATAGAGACAGTGTTTTGGGTTGGAAATTGGATTCATTGACCCCTTACAAGTTCTAACTGCAAGTAACTATAACACTCACTAATTTCCACATCTTACAAATCACTGCAGCACATGGTAAATCTTTTCAATCTACTGTCACTAGTCATTTCCTGGTAATGGATCTTAACACTGCAGATTCCTCAGTTTCCAACTATGTAATCTCTTCACAGACTCCCTTAAAACTCTCTCACAACTCGCACTTTCTCCAATTGTCCTCCATATAACTCTTCAGCATGTACCAACATAAAACACAACTCTTCTATTGTGGCTCCAGTCATTTCTGAGGGATCATGTTTGTTTGCGAAGGCATTACTCGATAATGGCTGCATATACTTGCTTATTAAGAATCTGTTGCCTAGCAGCGAATGTTGTTTCCTTGTTTGGTTTGAGGTCATTACCCAGTAATGGGTCTACACACATCACACAAATGAAGTGCTGGTAATCAAATATTGTAGTATGCGTGATCCAACACAGAGCTCCATCACAATCAAATAAAGGTATCCCTTTGATTCACAAAGGAAATTCATCTTATGAAAATTGTTCATAAGTTGAAAATTAAATTCCCATTACTTTACATGTAAAAGTTGTCACAGTTATAAACTTAAGTTGTTCATTGTAGCAAAAATGAAGTTTGTTAGGTGAAAAGTAGGTACAAATTAACACGCTTTGCTGTAGTGAAAATACATAAATTGAGTGCTTGTGAATTGAGGGATTGTACTGTTCCTTAAATTTGAAAATAGGACAAATGATTGAAGTTAATTTGTATCCAGCCTATAGATGACCACCATACAGAACGTTATTTTCTGTAATACTGTAAATGGGTGCCAACAAAAATTAAATCCCTTACTAGCTGGATCCTGTTTTAGATGGGGAACAAACTTGTGTGATACATGAGTTCAAGGAGGAGAAATCCTTTAACTTGACAGAATAGTTTCTTTCTCATTCATATACAGTTTCTCTTATATGCACTGTAAGGGCTAGGTACACAGTAATTGAGACTGCTGAATCATGTGTAGTTACTGTAATCATGAATGACCATAAATTTTAAAGGATCTGTGTTTCAAAATGCTATCAGTGGGGAAATGCAGACAGGCATATTCCTCCCAGTTGTCCTTACAGCACTTAGGTTTATGACACAGATGTGTACAAGTACATGTACTAGTGCCTAGGCTGGATGACCAAGGAATTGAGGTTAAATTCCTACCAGGGTGGAGAGATTTTCTCCTCTTCACAGAGTCCAGACTAGCTCTGGAACCCACCCTGCCTCCTGCTCCAAGAGTGAATTCGCCAAAGTGTGAAGCTGACCACTTATGTCCATCTGGTGCCAAGGTTAATAATGCATGGAACTATACCTCTTCTCCCTCATACATCTTCATGGTGTGGTGTCTAATGAAGTACAGGCAATTATTTTATAAAGGTGTGTTCATTTCAGGAAGTCCTGCAGAACAGCCCTGACTACAAGGACATGGCTCAAGAAAAGGCAATGGATGATTTTCACCACAAAATCCAACATTACTTAGAGCAGTATGAGCCCATCAACCCTAAACAAGAACCCAATCTCCGATATATTAAGATCATGAATGAAGGTATATGTTTTGACCCAGCACCATATTCTTTTCTTGGATTAAAAGGTGGCGGGGGATAGACAAAAGATGAATTCAGTTGATTAATAGCTGCACTGAACTGGTTCTAGGTGAAACAATATCAGTTCGCCGTGTGGCAGGACAGATTGAGGGTCGAATACTGGCTTTCCTGTCAAACTTTAAACCTGCACCAAAGACATTATATTTTTCTCGGGTAGGTATTTGATTTTTACAAAATTGTCATTTTGAATTAATTTTAACCTCATTAGATATAACTAGTCAATTGATATCATGAAGATGAATGAAAGCTGTTACTTATCTTCCCTCTTATTGCAGAAGCATGTGGCCATGAAGAGTAACAAAAATCCAGTTGTAATTACCCATGTACTATCCTTGCATGCCTAATGTATTAACATTGTTTTATTTACAAATAATGTTCAGTGTAAGCTTCCTGTACTGGTAATACAAGAATGAAGAATTGTAAAACAGGTTGCAAGTAAGTTTTCCCTTAATCCGGCACTGGTGAGGTGGGAAAATGTAACAAAAGTGGTAAGGTGGGGTCCCACAGACCCCAGAAATTCCAACTACTACATCACCTCCACCTTTGGTTTGGTGTAAAGCAGAATGATTCCCAGCTTAAATATTCTCATCTACATTATCATCATAATATAATGTAGAAATCATGATTTTGTTTTGCACAAATGAAGCTATGGTGATATTGGGTTGAAAACTAAAAATGGTAGTCATTGGGCTTCTTCGCTTGGTATTGATGAAGTCTGGTGACAGTTGTCTTTTAATTTTTCTTGATTGTTCCCACCATTTTTAGCTTATGATCTTCTAACAAGGATTTAGACAATGGGTAATTTGTGAACCAATTATCTAAAGTCACATTGCGCCCTGATCCAGATATAGGTGAAATCAACCTTTAACAATTTCAGAAGGTGTGTTTGAAACTTTATATGGGCCTTAAGATTGTGTGCTAACATAAACTTCCAATTTAGAAGTATAAAAGGACTTGGCATGAACCAAAGCAAATACTTTCAGACCATACTTTGCCAGTTTGCTTGGAATGCACTGCCAGAAACTGCATTCTCCATGAAACATTTCTAGCTTTTTATCAATTGTTACGTTTTCTCCTAAATAATATACAGACTCACATATTTCGTTGAACTAATAAAAAATTTCTCTAATTGGAGCCAATTTGTTATAAGATCTTCATTCAGTTCTAGTACTTCAGTCGTCAAATTGTAGACATCTAAGAAGAAAACGGAAACGAACAAGTGACATTGTGCTTCTAAATAATTCAACAACGGTACCGTCCGTGGCCCATAGATTATCCAGATTCTGGTGACTAGACTTATAAGAACCGGATAATTACGAAAGTCGAAACACAGACTTCATTTCACTCATATCAGTCTTTTGAACACTATTATTTCTGGTATAATTTACTGGCCTCCTTTCTATTTTGTCTTTTATATTCTTCAAAATTAGGTCTATCATGTCATCAAGAAAAAATATCTCTCAGCAATCTAAAATTGATTTTGCATTTTTTGCATTGCCCAGAACACCAGGTGCTTGGCTAACTATGTTATGTGCTCGAGTTCTTATTTGAGATCCTAACTTGTTTTTACTCCACCTGGTTTACTTATCTTTTGCACAAGTAAAAGGCTCCCTTTATGGATTCTTCCTCACAGTCTTGTTCTGTATCAGACTCATGATTACTGAGTAATTCTAAATCAATTTCACTATCATTATCTCTGCTAAATGGCTTCTCGTCTGTCAAAGTGTCATCTATAAGTTGATGTAACGTCTGTTCTTCCTGCTCGTACATGCTGGGCTATCAGTACAATTACAGACAGATATGGATTCTTGTTATTACTGTCAGATTAATATTTTCTGTGGGGTTTCCCAACCTCTAAATAGTTTGTTCAGAGTGCTCTTTTCCTGTGATTAGAGCAGCTGAAGTGTGAAGCTGTCCAATCACCTCTTATCTAATACAATGGTAAAGGGGCCTTGTGGAGCTAAAGCTCCACAGCACCACATTCACGGTATGAAGACTAAGCAAGAAAGAACTGTGATTGGGGAATATTTATGAAGATTAGAATCTTTGTGTGTCCAGGTCATCAGACTACATATAAATATTCATTATCATAATGGTATAAATATTTTCTTGAAAAATGAAAGTTCCACATAAAACCCTCACTAATATTGGAGACTAACATTTAATAAATACAATATGATTCAGAAAGATGGACACAATTTCAGTTGGCTGTATTTCCTTAACTATATGTTGCATTTGAATTCTGTGAAGTACATTGGAAAGAGGATGTCATAAAGTTTCTCATACTACCACTAGATCACTCCAGCTCCGCATCAGTTGTAAGTGAGATAATCTGTAATTGCATGTGGTTATGGAAGTACTATTAATATTTATATTTTTTGTTATGAGTGTGTGGTGATATTTGTGAGATATAAATATTTCTGTTCATATAGCATGGCGAGAGTGAAAACAATGTATTGGGCCGAATTGGCGGTGACACAAATCTGTCGCCACGTGGGAGAAAATATGCACAGTCATTGGCTCGGCACATGAATGAGGTCAAGATTGAGGGGCTGAAGGTATGGACTAGTGAACTGTGTCGCACAAAACAGACAGCTGAAGGCATCAATGCCCCTGCAGAACATATTTCAGCCCTTAATGAACTGGATGCTGTAAGTATATGTAGACAACCACAACTTTGCATTTGGTCTTCATTAAGCATTCCATTTCAAGTACCTGATCTTAAATTTCTAAGTGATATGCAAAACTGTTAATTGATGACATAAAGGACATTTTCTATGAAGAACTAGAGCATGTATTTGATAAATTCCTGAAGTACCCTATGAAAATTTTGCTAGGAGATTTCAATGCCAAAGTAGGGAAGGAAGACATTTTCAAACAAATAGTTGGGAATGAGAGTTTGCATGAAATTAGTAATGATAATGGAGTTAGAGTAGTAAACTTTGCCACATCAAAAAACCTTACTGTCAAAAGTACACATTATAACATTCATAAATTTACTTGGACATCTCCTGATGGGAAGATACACAATCAAATAGACCATATTTTGATAGATAGGATACGGCACTCGTGTATACTTGATGTCTGATCATTCAGGGCAGCAGATTGTGATACTGACCACTACCTGGTGGTCGCAAAGGTTAGGGAAAGACTGGCAGTGAGCAAACAAACGCACAGAGTTCATATGGAGAGGTTCAATCTCAAGAAATTAAATGAGGTAGAGGGTAAAGAGCAGTATCGTGTTGAAATCTCAAATAGGTTCGTGGCCTTGGAAAACTTGGACACTGAGGTGGATGTTAATAAAGCTTGGGAAACTATTAGAGAAAATATCAAAATCTGCCAAGGCAAGTCTAGATCATTATGAACTGAAGAAGCATAAGCCATGGTTCGATGAAGGATGCTCCGAATTACTACACCAAAGAAAACAAGGCAAACTGCAATGGTTACAGGATCCAAGCAAAATACATAAGGATAATCTGAACAATATAAGACGTGAAACCAGCAGGCATTTCAGGATTAAAAAGAGGGAATATGTGAAAGACAAAATTGATGAGCTTGCAATGAACAGTAAGAACAAGAAAGTTAAGAGACCTGTATAGAGGAATAAATGATTTTAAGAGGGGTTACCAACCTGGAAGTAACTTAGTGAAGGATGAGAATGGTGATCTGCTTGCATATTCCCACAACATTTTGAATAGGTGGAAGAACTACTTCTCTAAGTTACTGAATGTACATGGGGTCAATGATGTTAGGCAGACAGAAATGGACACAGCTGAGCCGTTAATACCTGATCCCAGCCCTTTTAAGGTTAAAATTGCTATTGCAAAATTGAAAAGGTATGAATCGCCAGGTAGTGATCAAATTCTGGCAGAACTTGTTCAAGCAGGAGGCGAAATATTACATTCTAAGATCCATAAGCCAGTTACTTCAATTTGGCATAAGAAAAAATTGCCTGATCAGTGGAAGGAGTCTACTGTTGTACCAGTTCACAAGGAGGGTGATAAAACTGACTGTAGTAATTATTGGGGGATATCACTGCTATCAACTTAATACAAAATATTATCCAATATTTTTCTCTCAAGGTTAAGTCCATATATAGATGAAATTATTGGGGATCATCAGTGTGGGTTTCAACATAACAGATCAACTGCAGATCAGATCTTTTGAAGTCATCAGATATTGGAAAAAAATGGGAGTACAATGAGACATTACATCAGCTATTTATAGACTTGAAGAAAGGTTATGATTCAGTTAAGAGGGAAGTATTGTACAATATTCTTATAGAGTTTGGGATACCCATGAAATTAGTTAAGCTGATTAAAATGGGTTTAAACAAAACTTATAGTGAAGTCTCCCATAAAACCAAGTTATATTTAAAGAACATCTAAAAGTTGTAAATAGTGATTTAAAAAATCCTCAACTAAGAAACTTTGAACAGTAATTGCTATACAATTGAAAAACGATTTTTTAGGGCCCCTCTGTGTGCATGTTCACATGCATGCACTCTCTCTCTCTCTCTGTGCATTACTTCAAATATAGGACGTACATTTTACATGTTTTTTCACGTTGAAAAATTGAGGTGTGTTGAAGTCGAGGAATGTGCACCTTTTAATCTTTTTCATAAAACCCACATTAAGAACTGGATGTGTCTTTTATTTTAAGTAATACGGTATATATAAACTGAGTATTTCAGGGAATAATAGACTATTAAATATATCTTGTTTTCTTAATTATATATTCTCCTGACATCTCCGTCATTCACATATACTATGGCTTGGAAGGAAGTAAAGGGTGGTGGGTTAGGCTGCACCATAGCTCAAGCAGTTAGTTGCTGGCTTCCCACCGTGGTGGCCCGGGTTCGATCCCGGATCTGGTCAAGTGGGATTTGTGGTGGACAAAGGGGCACTGGGGTAGGTTTTCACTGAGTACTTCGGTTTCCCCTACCAATCTTCATTCCACCAGTTGCTCCACAATCACACTCACCTGTCATCTGGGGCTGGTACAATATGCCAGAAGTGGCCGCAGTACAAAGGACTTAGTCCCACCCCACTAGCAATTAGAAAAAAGGGGTGGTGGGGGATGAAGAATGAAAACAGAACCTACAGTGGTGCCATAACATTGTGGGACATTGGTTCCCATTAAATGCACACTGTTTTGTTAAATGTATCTGCACACAAAAATCAATACTGTATCAAGAAAAATTGCACTATACATGATAATCAGATACTCATCATACTATGCTTCAAAGGCTGCAGCTACCGAGATGGCACACAGCAGTTTTCTTTCTTTGCGCCTTGTCATGCTTTTCCTTGTTGGCACAAATGATGTAGATCTGCATTTTTTGACAGCAATGAGACCTCCTTGTAATATCTTACTTTCCAACAAGTATAATGAAAATTAATTTTACATAAGCATATTGTGATTCACACACTGCACATTTTGACCTCTTCAAACAGACTGCACCAAAAATTAATGTAGGAATGATCATGTAGAATCCAAGGAATGCTGTACAAAGTAAGAATACTGCAATGGCATGCTGTTTCAGCCTTACTGATACTAAGAAAAGCTTTTGAAACCAGGAAATATTAACTAATTAAAGAGGAAGTTGAGTCTCTTAAATGCTACATAATGTAAATGAAAACTGTCTCAGACTCAGACTATTTTCCTAAAAGTAATTCACAAATGAAAGGCACTCATCCTTTTTTCCCCCCATATGTTTGAACAAAAACCCTTTTATTTGGGAGGAGAATCATCTTCCAGGTTTTATGATTTTACTGGAAATTTACTTTCATANAGCTGAAGGCATCAATGCCCCTGCAGAACATATTTCAGCCCTTAATGAACTAGATGCTGGTGTCTGTGAAGGTCTAACATATGAAGGAATGCAAGACAAGTTTCCTCAAGAATTTGCTTGGCGAGACCAAGATAAGCTTCGTTACAGATATCCATGGGGTGAATCATATGTTGACATCATGGCTCGATTAGACCCTGTTCTTCTGGAACTGGAGCATGAGGATAATGTGCTTGTTGTCAGTCACCAGGCTGTCCTGCGCTGTATACTGGGCTATTTTTTGAACAAGAAACCTGGTAAGCATCATCATTACTCTTACTTACTTACTTACTTACT